TATTGCAGTATCAAAACTCTGTAAATACAGTATCATTTCATGTGGTCATTTTTCAGTCTCTCTTGATAGGATTTCTTTAAGTCTGGAGGATGTGACAGAACCTAGCAGGAACACTGTTATATCAGTTCTCCTGTTCTCTGCAGCCTCTCCACAGCTTACAAATTAGGAACTCTTTATTGACCCTTCAAAGACAAGTTTGTGTGCTTGTCGTATTTAATTTGGTCTTTTAGGTAAATAAAAGGAAATTATGTGCTTTTCCGTTCTCAGCCATTGCAAACCATTCTGGAGACATTCAGGAACACCATAACTCCATCACAAAACTATTGACAACCTAGTAAACCCAGAAATTTTAGATACTGGTATGCTTTCCAGTTGCATAAGAGAAATGCATGAAAAATTCCCAATAGAAAGTGTCTCTGAAATTTTTGAAACATGAGCACTTATTTTGCTTTCAAAAATTGTGTTTCCAATTGCAAGAACAGTTATTATCCATCTACATGTCCAGTACTTTATGAATTCCAGCTGCCTTTTGATCTTAGCATCCTCTGAAAGCCATATCTAGAAGCTGGGTTGCTCCATGTCTACTTAGTAAATGCTGAACACAGGCAGTTCTGGTGTTATAAATAATATCTAAAAGGAATTTATGACTAAGTATTCCTTGCAACATTTCTAAACAGAAATTTCCAGCGAAAGCTATAATCCTCACTTTGATTCTCACATCAAGATGTTCTCCTAGGCCTTCAATCACCAGTGTTTATTTCTCTGTGTGGCTTTTATTCCTTCTTCTTGAACTTCAATGATACTATTATTTGTCTTATTTTCAGCACTTCTTTCAAAAACTTTGAAGTATATGTTTATTTTTCTAACTGAAATTGGCTTTGGCACTGGCAAAAGTCCATCTATTTGCATTTAGTGCATTTATTTTCCATTTGCATTTACTTTCTCTTGCAGTTACTATGATTTGGGGTTTTGCTGCTATTGTTGCTTTTGCTTTTGTTATCAGCACTAATATATGCTTGAAAGAAACCTTAATGGAATCACCTACAATTGTTTTTAAAATCACTTGTTTTCTTTGAGAATACATCACAATTTGTTGTCTTCTCCACATTCAAAACACAGTTCCCAATATTAGAAAATCATAGAATCATTAAATTTGGAAGGTACCTCGATAGATCAGCAAGTCCAAGTCTTCTGCTTAAAGCCAGATCAACTAGTGTACATTATTCTGGCCTATGTCCAGTTGGGTTTTGAATATCTCCGAAGATGTAGAATCCACAACCTATCTAGTGACCTGTCCCAATTTCTGATCAGTCTCACAGTAAAAACATTTTTCTTATTCCATTTAAATGGAATTCTCTGTATTTCAATTTATTGTCTCCTGTCATTTCACTGGATACTACTCAGATGAGTCCTTCCTCATATTAGTTAATAATTATTTAAACACACCCATAAGCTCCTTCTGAACCTTCTCATCTCCAGGATGAACAGCCCCAGATTTTTCAGTCTTTTCTCCTATAAGAGATACTCCAGTCCTTAATGATGTCATACCCCTGCACTGGACTTAGTCCAGTATGTCCATATCTATTTTGTACTGGGAGCCCAGATCTGGACACTGCATTCCACACACGGCCTCATCAGTGCTGTACAGAGGGGAAAGATCACCTCTCTCAACCTGCTGAAATCACTCCTTCTCACACAGTGCAGAATGCCATTGGCCTTTTCTGCCACAAGGGCATATTGCTGGCTCATGTTCAACCTTCATCCACCAGGACCTTCACACCCTTCTTTCAAAAGCTGCTCTACATACAGCTGGCATTGCATGTAGACTGCTGCACAGGATTATTCCCTCTCCAGATGCTGGACTTTGCATTTCCTCCTATTAAACTTCATGAAGTTTCCTGTTCACACATTTCTCCAGCCTGTTGAGATCACTTCCTAGTGAGTGATATTATTACAAAGAATTGCAATTGACAGATCCTACACCAATCTCTAAAATAGCTCAGCCTTAACTTCTTCCACTTCCAAAGGGACAGCCATTTACTATGACTGTATTACTTTCCTCTAAACAAGTCTATTATATTTTCCTATTTTCATTACTCTTGTCAAAGACTTGTACAAAAACCTTTACTAGAGCCAAGCAAATTCTATCTCCTCCTTCTTTCAAATAGACTTATATATGTTTTTCCAAAAAATTCTAAAAAAAAAAATGAAATGTGAATAATTCTATGTAAAACTGTATTTTAAAATACCACTACTACTACTCCTACTACTCCTTGCCCCTGCCCCAGACATAGTTTGTAGATCCTACAATATAAAATACAGTATACCTTTATCATCTTATTCTCTAATACCACAGGTATTAGAGGAAGTTCAGGAAGTACCAGTACTGAAACACTCAAAGCAAGAGCTTCTGGATACCAAAATCCCACTCTTCATCACTGTATGCTGTTGTTAAAGAAAAAAAGGATTGACAATTCATTCTTATAGTAAGGAACTCTAGTGTGCTTTAAGAAGTAGCAGTATAAACAGAAGGAACCCATTGATTATTATATCAGCATTACTCCCACAGAGGAAAGTGGTAGAATTTCCACTGATTTCAGAGAGGACACATGACCAGTGCAGAGTGTATATCACATACTGAGAAAAAAAATTAAAATAAATGTCCTATGGAAGGTTCAGAAAGAATAGCATGAGGATATCATACATTTGAGGGTAGAAATATGATGCTGATTCTAAATTTCAGTTATGCAAAGTAAGCCTAGCTAAAAATAGCTGCTGAAAGGATGATAGGTAGAAACTGAATTCTATAAGTGAAATGTCAAGGGAGAAAAACACTTCAACTACAACCAATGCTTTATTTCTGTGGAGCACCTCTTTCTGAAGCAGTACAATCTTTCTGAGCCTCACAGGTTCTGCTATGTTCCTGGAGAAGCAAATGGTGTCAGAAGCTGCAAATGCCTTCTACCATGATAGAAAAACTCGAAGACTCCCACTGCTACAGCTAAAAAAACACTATGGTCATAGCCTTTAACCTATTTTTCAGCTTTAGTCTTAGTTCTGCAATACCTTGTGTATGGACTTTAAAGCAAATGCCATAAAAGATTGTGGATATGGGATAGCGCTTAAAGTAAGAGCTTTGGCATTGTTGCACCATACATATGCTTCTTGCTCCACCACAGATTCAATTACTAGTTTCATAACAGATTTGGAAGAGTACAACAATGTTGTAACTTTCAAATTACTGCAGATAAGAAAATGGCTGAAGAAGCAGATGCAAGAAAAGGCTGCCTGTTATGTGAGTCTGTCTGTCATCCATCTCTTCTTCACTACTATCTCTTTCTTTCTTCATAGCTGAATTGTTTTCCCAACTGATAGTATAGACTTACATATTTTTCCAACTCTATCAGTAACAAAGGCAATGAAAGGGAGAAAAAACTAGATCTATATTTTCCTGTAACAAGTTGCACCTGGAACAGAGAATTCTAAGTCCCTTAAAAAAAAAAGACATATCATCCTCATTATTTATTCTATTCTGTATTAGTTATAAACATAATCCTCCTTTCTCCATATTATTTTCTCAGCACGATACATGTAATACCATTCTTTTGATTATGTGAAATAAATAATGTGTAGGAACCTATGTTTAAGTTTTATGTTATTGAGATTTCTTTCTGCAAAATAATTACATTTTAATGGCTACCAAAAAAGGAATCATGACTACTCCTTTTTTCAATATCTCAATGTAGTTTTCAAATCTTATTTCAAATTAGTACTTACTGTTCACTTGCTTATAATTAGGCTTACATTATGTTTTATTTCATGCTGCACTGAAATAGCACTATATATATGAAGACACTGATAAGCACACAGAAGTGTCAGTGGTTACCTTTTCAAAGAGCTAACCATAAAACTCTAGATTTTATTGTTTACTATAGAAAAGTACGTAGCTCAAAATGTCATTTTAGTTGTGAAAGTAGGTACAATAATAAGAAAAAATTTGTTGTCTTTATAAAATATGTTCATGCCGTTTATTCTGTAGCATATGCTAGTGATCTAGTGGCACAACATATTACATTTTAACCCAGAAATGCACAGATGAAAGAAGACCAGGCTCAAAAATATCAGTGACATCTCTTAAAAGTAAACCTTGTATTTTGTTATATGGAAATGATGGAATATACACACATAGAAAAAAAAAAAAAGGAAAAAATTATATCATGTATAGAGTTTAGCAGGGCTGAATCTATTGATCCAGGTTGGGATTTTTTTTTCTTCATTTTCTTTATTGAGTTTTTTAATTTAAAATTTGACTGTGAAAAAATAAAGACACTGTAATGAAAAAGTCAACTGAAACGTTCTTTAAACTGTCCTTGCCTCATGTAAAAATATTTATCTAGGACTACTCAGCCAGACATTTTTTGATTATTGTAGAGCATATCTGAGGCAATCGAAATTCATCAAAGTTAGGGGACTTGCAAATGTACTGGTAAGTATTTGTTGTATCTTTACCTGGTGATTTGCCTAATTAAAGGCCAGAAGTATACCCTGATAAATTAACACAGGCATATTAACATCCAATTTGCTAAAACAGTTCAATAGTAGATACAAGAAACAAGGATGAATTTCTCAGACAGTACTATAAAGTGTTAACTTCGGAGATGTAGGAACTATGAAACACAAACCAGATAAGATATTAATTTTAGGACACTGAATGCTTGGAACTGTTCCTGGGTAAACTGGCTGCCTTCTGTTACATACAGAAAAACAGGGTAAATTTACACAGGTGGAACCACATAGGCATGGGGCATTTTGTTTACTTGTTCTGTAGATTTAGGATATTCACACACACAAAAAAACCTCTCCTTTATCCAGACTGGCTAAAACCCCAATGGTATTAAAAAGAACATAACATCTCAAGATGGTGTTTCTTAAAATCTGAAAATTATTATTTTCCTTTCTAAGATTTATGTTTAATACTACATGCCAAATATATTATTTACCTATCTCAGAAGCAGCCACTGTGATGTTGTACCAAGGTGTCTCCTCTCTGTCAAAGATCTTGGCAGTCTTAATGGTCCCAGTACTAGCATCAATGGTGAAATACCTATCTTCTTCTGTGTTATGATCAATGAAATATCTATGAAGAAATATAACAATAAATATATACTTATTGTAGTATATATAATCCAAAGTAACAGAAAGTTACATAAGAATATAACTTTCAAGCTTTACAGTCATAGACATTTTTAAAAACACCATAAGAAAAAGAATCTATATTATGAAGAAACCCAATGCAACACCATATTCCATTTGTTTCATATTGTTTCATTTCTTTTGATACATAATAAGGCTTCCAGTGTGAGTCACCAGGATATAAATTGCTAACAGGTAGTATTTTACACAGCAGTATACAATCCTATCAAAGGTAAGAGAAACATGTATTTTGACTAAAAATCATGAAATGGAAAAGCAGAAAAGAAAACAAAGAGATATTAAGACATTATTTTTCTGCTTATTTGCTTGTCACTGCAAGCCCATGTGCTCAGCCCTGGTACCTGTTTTGAAGTACGTCTCTCTGACATGAAGTCGATGACATGATGGCACAGATATTTTGAACATAACCATTAAAGAGACTAATGTCAGAAATGGCTGGTTCTCAGAGATGCGATTGACACTACACTAGAAGCAGAACTATGCATCCCTGCTTTATAGCCTTGGATTCTGAGCACTTTGCCTGGTAGAGAAAGTAAAAACCTTGAAGTGGGTAATGGAAGCAGAGGGAAAGAACACAAAAGAAGAGATTGACATTTTTTCTCAAAGCCAGAATCATTTACAATGGCTTTTAACAAATGAAGCAATTACAAGACACTATCAAGCCTTCTTCACTACCTCCAAAAATAAAAAATAAGGAAACAGATTATTTTATATACCATAATTATTTTTCCTTATAATTTGTAATCCCTGCTTTCATTCTGTGAAGTTTTTAATATATGGAAGGTATATAAAGGTCAAAATGATTTATTTTCTCCATCCCATTGCCCTTATTTTTACATCAAGAGAAGTGTAATTGCCAGCTTATAAAAAGAGGATGCACATAAAAGCTGACAAGCTCAAAAAAATTAAAAATAACTGCAGTTTTATTTCTCTCACAATGTACTTACTTATACTATTTGTGGAAAGGAAAAGCAAAGAAGAAACAAACATTTAATTGAATAGTATACTAAAGTCAGAGATGATGTGAAAAAGCAAAAGAAAGAAAGTACTTAGAGGAGTAGGCAACAGTTTGAATCACCTTAACTTGTCAAGAGATCAGACACTAACTGGAAAAGCCAGCTAGGGCTTGATGACTTAGGTTAGATCTTCCTTACTGGAGAGAATCCGAACCCCCTCTCCCATCTGGAAGAAGCATTTCGCATCTGCCTTAAAATGTGCTCTTTTGCCTGTTGGTACTCCAGATTTCCTTTTCATGCTTCCAGTATTTTTAGCAATTAAAGAATCATAGTTCATTTACTAGAAATCAAAGCAGCCAAAGTTAGGCTTCTTGCCTATTCTCCATCTTTCCTTTTGACATTATGAAGAGTGAACCCCCTCTCATATGACTTTGGAAGCTGTTTAAGAGACAGCAGACCTAAGTTCCTACCCTATTTCTCTGGAACAAGAATTTAACTTGCCATCTCCCACCTGAGCTAAATTAGAACCCCCTGTGGAGCTCATTAATTGCCAACTCCTGAGCATATCACATTGTAAAATACATCAGAGTTGCTCAATAAAGGCACCTTGAATGTGCAAGATGGAAGCTGAAGTTGCTTCAAACAAGTAACAGACTCAAACTGTCTCCGTATGAAAGTGAACTGGCAAAATTCTGATTATGTAGGAGATGGGGCAATTTTTAAGAGTTTAAGTCAGGAAAATTTTTTTCAGAGGACATTATTTAGTCCGCATATCCCTAATTGGATGAGAGAAAACCAAAGTAAGTGATGTTGCCAGAAAAAGAACAAAAAAAATGCCACATTTATTATTGCTGGATCACAGTGGCCACTGCAGACATACTTCTGCAACTCGGTGTGCTTCTCTGTGCTCAGTAAACTCAGAAGAGGAATTAAAAGCAAACTCTCAATGAACATAAATCAGTCACTGATGATGACTTGCTGGATAGTGCAGATATCCAAACAAATTGATATTGCTTTGAGGAATATTGGAATCCTCTGAGGACAAATCACAAAACAAACAAAAAAACCCAACAAACAACCAAAGACCCCCCAAAAAATCCAGCTAAAAAATAACCATGTAGTTATCCTCTTGGGTTTATTTAATGTGACAATATTCATCCAGGCTACCATCACCTCCTTATTTAGGAATATGGATTTGTTTTTCAATTTCAAAACAACTGATTTTTCCAGTGTCACTGAAGGCATCACTCTTCCATGAAGCACAGATTTGCAAGTTCTCCAAGTGTTTATTTGTCATAGAAATGTTTTGAAAGACTGTGCCAGTCTCACTGGAGAAGTTCTATCTACCATGTGCACAGATAGCATTACCTTTTACTACTTACCAAAATTTTGGAGACAGAGTGATATCAACCTCTAAAAATCCATAAAGCTGCCAAATTTGTCACAGAGTTGGGTTGATTTTGAAATTTGTGTGGAAGATACATGCTTCAGGTGGACAAATGTTCCCATGCCTTACACCTTATGCTTGACAGTGGAGGAAAACTGAGCTATGGCAAATATTGGAATGTTTTGATTATACTACTATTAGTAGTATAATAGTAATGCAGAAATTGGGACCATTTGGTTGTGTTTGGCAAGATACAAATGCAGATACACAAACATCTAATACATGATGAACTAGAAGGCTAATGGAGAAAGCGTAGAAACCATAATTGTCCCTCCATTTTCTTGGAGATCTTTTACTAGGAAAGCTTACAATCAGTTATGCAATGATAAAATTTAATTACTTCTCTCCTACTATAGCTTTATTTTCCCTGACTGTAGAAGGAAGCCTCCTGATAATTAAGAGAATTATTTGCTAAAAAAAAAAAAAAAAAAAAAAAAAAAAAAAAAAAAAAAAAAAAAAAAAA